TCCCTCCATTTTCTCCCTCCTTCCCTTCTTCACCCAATTTCCTCCCTTCCTCCTTTTTTCCCTTCTTCCTTCTGTCCCTCCCTGCCTCCCTCCATTTTCTCCCTCCTTCCCTTCTTCACCCAATTTCCTCCCTTCCTCCTTTTCTTTCTTACTCCTCCTGCCCCTCCCTGTCTCCACTTTCTCCATCATTTCCTTCCCTCTCCTCTCTTCCCCACCCACTTTTCCTTTTTTCTTTCCTTCCTTCTTTCCTTCCTCCCTCCCTTCCACCCTTCCCTTCTTCACCCACAATTTCCTCCCTTCCTCCTTTTTACTCTTCTTCCTTCTGTCCCTCCCTGCCTCCCTCCACTTTCTCCCTCCTTCCCTTCCCTTCTTCACCCAATTTCCTCCCTTCCTCCTTTTTTCTTTCTTACTCCTCCTGCTCCTCTCTCCCTCCCTCCACTTTCTCCATAATTTCCTTCCCTCTCCTCCCTTCCCCACCCACTTTTCCTTTTTTCTTTCCTTCCTCCCTCCCTTCCACCCTTCCCTTCTTCACCCACAATTTCCTCCCTTCCTTCTTTTTTCTCTTCTTCCTTCTGTCCCTCCCTGCCTCCCTCCACTTTCTCCCTCTTTCCCTTCCCTTCTTCACCCAATTTCCTCCCTTCCTCCTTTTTTCTTTCTTACTCCTCCTGCTCCTCTCTCCCTCCCTCCACTTTCCCCATAATTTCCTTCCCTCTCCTCTCTTCCCCACCCACTTTTCCTTATTTCTTTCCTTCCTCCCTCCCTTCCACCCTTCCCTTCTTCACCCACAATTTCCTCCCTTCCTCTTTTCCTCCTTCTTGTCCCTCCCTCCACGTTATCCATAATTTCCTTCCCTCTCCTCCCTTTCCTCACCGACATTTCTTTCCTTCCTCCCTCCCTCCTTCCCTCCCTTTTCCTTCTTCAGCCACAATTTTTCCTTTCCTCCCTTCCATCCTGCTGTGCTTCCCCCCTTTCTCCCTACTTCCCTTCCCTTCTTCATCCCCAATTTCTTCCCTCCCTCCTTCGCTCCCTTCCATTCTTGACCAAATTTCCTCCCCTCTTCCCTCTGGGCCTGGCTGTTCCCTTGCAGACATTTCACGACCCAACTAAGTAACATTATCAGTGCTAGAGTGTGGAAGTGGGAATCCCGAGGAGTAAGGCATTGGCCAGCCCTGGGCAAGCCTTACCCCACACTTCTCACTGCCCTCCCTTCTGCCCCCCACCCCCAGGAGACTTCGCAGCTCTGCTCCACGCCGGCCTGAGCGTCAAGCGGGCGCTGCTGCTCAACTTCGTGAGCGCCCTCACGGCCTTCGTCGGCCTCTACATCGCCCTGTCGGTCAGCACCGGGGAGGAATTCGAGGCCTGGATCTTCACGGTGGCCACGGGCCTCTTCCTCTACGTGGCCCTGTGCGATATGGTAAGGGGCACCTCCAAGCCGCCTTCCCCCAACCTCTGGCTCTGCAGGGGGAGCTGGGCTGCAAACCCCGTAACGGCCGAGGCTGGGAGTTATGGAGGTTGGAATCCAAAAGGGAGGGACAGGTGTCTTGCAACCAGAAGGACCACAAGGCAAATCCTGGGGGTGGGGAATGGATAGTGGTGAGATACCAAAGCAATGGGGGGGGGGATGTCCGAAAGAGACAAGGGTCTTCCAGTGGAAGAGCAGACGAAGATGCCTACTTCAGCCAGCCTTCTCCTCCTTTCCCCTTACAACAACCCTTTGAGGTAGGTCAGGCTGAAAGAGATTGGCCCCAAAGTCACTCAGCCGGCTTCCATGTATAAGGTGGGACTAGAACTCCCCGTCTCCTGGTGATTGGGCCAAAGTCATCCAACTAGCTTTTATCCCTAAGGCAGCACTAGAACTCCCAGTCTCCTGGTGATTGGCTCAAAGCCACACAGCCAGCTTTCATGGGAAAAGCAGAACTAGAACTCCCAGTCTCCTGGTGATTGGCTCAAAGCCACACAGCCAGCTTTCATGGGAAAAGCAGAACTAGAACTCCCCGTCTCCGGGTGATTGGCCCAAAGTCATCCAACTAGCTTTCATCCCTAAGGCAGTACTAGAACTCCCAGTCTCTTGGTGATAGGCCCAAAGTCACCCAGCCGGCTTTCATGGGAAAAGCAGGACTAGAACTCCCAGTCTCCTGGGGATTGGCTCAAAGCCACCAAGTCGCCTCTCATATCTCACATGGGACTAGAACTCCCCGTCTCCGGGTGATTGGCCCAAAGTCATCCAACTAGCTTTCATCCCTAAGGCAGTACTAGAACTCCCAGTCTCTTGGTGATAGGCCCAAAGTCACCCAGCCGGCTTTCATGGGAAAAGCAGGACTAGAACTCCCAGTCTCCTGGGGATTGGCTCAAAGCCACCAAGTCGCCTCTCATATCTCACATGGGACTAGAACTCCCCGTCTCCGGGTGATTGGCCCAAAGTCATCCAACTAGCTTTCATCCCTAAGGCAGGACTAGAACTCCCAGTCTCCTGGGGATTGGCTCAAAGCCAGCAAGTCACCTCTCATGTCTCACATGGGACTAGAACTCCCCGTCTCCGGGTGATTGGCCCAAAGTCATCCAACTAGCTTTCATCCCTAAGGCAGGACTAGAACTCCCAGTCTCCTGGGGATTGGCTCAAAGCCAGCAAGTCACCTCTCATGTCTCACATGGGACTAGAACTCCCCGTCTCCGGGTGAATGGCCCAAAGTCGCCTTTCATGGCTAAG